TTTTCCTTCATTTCACTTTGGTGAATCTTGGCAATTATGTGTCTGGAGTTGCTCTTCTCCGAGGAAGTATCTTTGTGGCGTCCTCTGGTATTTCCTGATTGAATTTGGCATGCCCTACTAGGTAGGTTGGGAATTCTCCTGGATGAATATCCTGAAGCCGTGTTTTGCCAAACTTGGTTCCCAGTTTCCAGTTCCCCTCACTTTCCAGGCACCCCCAATCAGATGTAGAATTGGGTCTTTTTACATGATCTGATACTTCTTGCAGGCTTTGTTCATTTCTTTTTCTTCCTTTTTTCCTTTAGGTTTCTCCTTCTCACTTCATTTCATCATTTGATCCTCAAATCGCTGATACTCTTTCTTCCAGTTGATCAAGTCGGCGTTACTGAAGGCTGGTGCCATTTCATGTTTTTCATGTCATGGTCATCTCTGTCCCATCGTTTATGCTTCCTCCTGCATTAATAATTTGTAGTTTATCAATTCTTCCACCACTTTTTTTTCAAGACTTTTAGTTTCTCTGCACTGGGGTACCGCTAATTCCTCGCTTTAGCTTCTGAGAAGTTGATGGACTGGAGCCTTCTTCTCATCACTTGTCAGTCTTCTCCATTCCAGCTTTGATTCCATGCCTGGCGATGAGGCTTGCGTTTCCTTTTGCAGGGGGCGATGCCGCTTAATTTTTTGAATTTCCAGCTTTTTCTGCCATGCCTTTTTCCATCTTGTGTTTTATCTGGCTATGTCTTTGATGATGGTACGTATCTGATTTGGGATTTTGGTGTGGGTGGTTCCCTTCCTCGTTTTTGTAGTTTCCGTTCTAACAGTCCCAGGACCCTCAGCTTAGCTGTTGGGAGATTTGCCTTGAGGCTCCACTCCAGACCTGTTTTGCTGGGTATCAGCAGCAGAAGGCTGCAGAGATGGAATATTGTGAACGCAAGTGCCAACCTGTCTGATTTCTCTAATGACTTAATCCTCAGCGGGTGTACTCCACGTGTACGGTGTGGGGGTGTCCAGACTGCCCCCTAGTGGGGAGTCTCCCAGTTTAGGCCTACCTCAGGGGTCCAGACCCACTTGAGGCGGATAGTCCCTGTCGTTTTTCAAGAATCTCAGCCTCCGTTTGGGAGATCCACTCCTCACTTCAAACCTGTCAGCAGAGTCCGTTGCCCCCTCTGCAGAGGTTCCGCGCTTTTGTTGTTGTTGTTGTTGTGTTGTTGTTGACTTGTGCCCTGTCCTCCAAAGGTGGGAGTCTCCCCAGAGGACCAGGCAGGCCCATCGTCCTTGAGCTGCTGTGAGCTCCACCCAGTTCGATCTTCCCCAGGCTTTGTTTTATTCTACTTAAGCCTCAGCAATGGCGGGTGGCCCCTCCCCCAGCCTGGGCCTGCCTTGCGTTCGGAAGACCGCGCAGACTGCTGTGCTAGCAATGAGGGAGGCTCCGTGGCGTGGGACCCTTCGCGGCCAGAGTGTGGAATCGACTGGTTCCTGGTGGTGCCCGTTTGCTAAATCCTTGTAGAGCGCGACGAGATTGTGTGGGGAGTACCCGATTTTCCCAGTGTTGTGTGTCTTCAGTTCCCCGGCTAGGAAAGGGAATATTTCCTTTCCCTTACCCCTTGTGCCTCCCAGGTTTGGCGATGCCTCGCCCTGCTTCAGCTCTGGCTGGTCGGGCTGCAGCAGCTGACCAGCACCGATTGTCAGGCACTCCCTAGTGAGATGAACCCAGTACCTCAGTTGAAAATGCAAAAATCACCTGTCTTCTGTATCGCCCGCGCCAGGAGTTGGAGACTGGAGCTGTTCCTATTCGGCCATCTTGCTCCGCCCCCCAAAAGTTTTTAAAGCAGGGGACTTTGTTCTTATCCAACCAAAGTCATTTCCTACTTTTGTAGTATTCCTGTGAAAATGCATAAGAGTTGGGGGGATGGAGTGGGACATGAAGGGTGGAGGTGCAATTCCATTTCCACCCCTCGCTGTCTCACAGGTTGGAACTGCCCAGAGAGGCAGCAGCAGGCCAAGCAATGTAACATGGCATCTTGTAGATTTCTTATCTACTCTCACAGTATTTTAGTTGTAGATGCACAGGTTTCCTGAAAAACTTTTATCTCTGTTGGGTTATAAGTACTCCCCAAATTCATGTTTCAGTTTATTTTGGAGTGCTGTGTAAGCTGTGACAATCTCAAGAATCCTGGTTTGTGTACTTGACATTATCACTTCACAGAAACCTTTCTATATTTTACAGGAAAGCCATGCATTTGAATGAACTATTGAAAGCTTAGTAATTAAAAGCAGTAATTATTTCTAGGCAATCTCTTATCCAGCTCTCCAGTCATTTAATTTATTGGAAACCTATTATGTATATCACTATGACAGGAACTTAAGATAGAAAGACACTCATTATCCACTTCAGTGTTTTCTTGGGGCAGCAGTCCAAGAACTAATAATTAACTTCTCTTACATAAATAAAAGTTTCCTTGGAGAAAGAAGCTTTAGAGGCTGTGGATTAAACAAGTATCAACAAATTTATTTGTGTAAGACTTTCAGAGCTTATGTAGAAAGTTTGAGTATAAACAATGTACTCCAAAATTATTTCACGAAGGAGTCCAGCCTCCCCTGATGCTTTCTTCCTATCGTATATCTTAGGGTGCACTGTGGAATAGCAGTCACTTGAGGAATCCTCCCAAGCAAGGAAACTGTCTTATTCAGTTTTTGCATCCCCAACAATGCCTCATGTGAAGCGGGTACTCACTGTTTGCTAAATGAATAAATGCAGAAATTTACTACAGTATATGGTAGATAGCAATTAGTGCCCTGACTGAGACACAGGTAACATTTCTGAAAATTCAGAGAAGGGAGGGATTATTTTCAGCTGAAAGAAATCATATGAGGTTTAATGGACTAGGTGAAGCTGAAGGATGGGGACATTTGGAGACGGGGCTGCTGAGCAGAGGATCTGCGTAGGGGTTGTTGAAGGGATCCGGAGTCTCTCCTTGTTGAAGGTAATAGTACTGCTCATTTTAACACTTTGAACATAGCTATGTTCCAGTACAGATTCTGGCCACTTAAGCTTTCATGTTTTAAAATCCTTACACCTTAGGAAAAAACTATTAGGAAAATCAAAACGGCAAAATATATTTAAGTATATATTTATATAGTTTGAAAGGACAATTTGATACAAACACTCACTGCTGTTAGGGTTGTCTCCTATGATATGGTGCCGCCCACTCCAGTACCAGAGCAGCAGGGTGGCATCTCGAGATCCGGACACGATGTAGCAGTCTCCACCAATGTATGACTCAGACCTGGCCAAGCACGTGACCACATCCCAATGGCCAAATACAATCTGAGTCAATTTCCCTGCAACACAGAAATGACAGGTTTGCTTCATTTAATCTTTTTCTTCAAATGGTAATAAGTGTAACTTTATCAGATTTTAAAAATTTTACCATATTTATTTTATTTTATTTTACCAGTTTTGTGAAAAGTTCATCTATAGGCTGATAAAGTTACAATGTTATTCAAATCTAGCTACAGGTTGCTTTCTTGCATTGCTTTTGAAAATTGATACAAGAATGTCACTTGAGATTTTTAAGGAAAAGACTTTATTAAATAACACGATCATGATTTTTCTCTTCAGGGTTTGGGCCAGACCAAGGGGAGTTTCAGGATCTTTTACTGCATATGAATTTGTGGGAAGGGAAAAATAGCCCTATTTGTCCTATGAACTCGGGGATCATGCTAATGTTTGGAATAGATGAAGTTATAGTTACTTCACTTACAATGTGAACATTTAATTTGAATCTTGACTATTCAAGTTGGCAAATGATAAAAATGCCTACATCAAGTATGATTTCATATTCAGCTTTTGTTTTAACAATAGTCATTTTGAAGAGAATACGGTGTTTCATAGTTAGGATTACCTGTTTCTGTAGAATAAACTCTGAAGCTCTTATCCCAGAATCCACAGATAAGAATATAGCGATTATCTGCTGTGACCACAAAACAATGTGCATTGATTTGTATACTCTGGTCAACGAGGTCTGTGATCTGCCGTTTGTTTACACCAGAATTATTGGCTAAAAATAAATGGAAAAAAAAATTTGAAGATTCCATATGAGTTTCTCCAAGCACTCATAGAAGGAAAACAATACTTTCATGCTTCATTTATCCAGAAATAGTTTTTTTTAATGGTATGAGATTATTAAGATTCTCCCTTGAGGAATAAAGATTTCCTTAGTAGCAGTGATTATTTATGAACCATATTATGTATTTTAAAATTCTGCCAGAAATTTCAGTTCTCCCTCCACCAATAAATAAAAACAATATGAGGAATTCAAGAAAATTAATTTACAACATAATACAATATTTTAATGCATTTAATTCTTTAGGTGCTCACTACACACAAGTTCATTAGTTTATAAGAATTACATGAGAACTAAATATTGTATTAAGTATGTTATTAAGGAAGAGATATATTAATATTTGCCCCAGTCCGTCATTTTCGGATGGTATTTTTATAATTCCCCTGAAAAAGGAGGGTAGAGATTTGAGCAAGTGATGTTGTTATGTGGGTAGCCCCACAGGGAGCTTCAGGTCAGCAGCTTTACAGGCCTGGATTGTCAACAGACAGAAGGCCTTTCCAGAATGGGCTAGCAGGGGAGGAGAGGAACAAAAAAGATGCGAGAGGGACTGGTGAGGAAAGAGACAGGCAAAGAATCAGTGCAGAGCCCTGGGATTGAATCTGAATAAAGTCAGGAACTCAGAGACACCATCTGATTTCCCCAGTGCCTGTCTGCATGCCAGCCTGTCCCTTACTGCACGCCATCCTTTCAGGATAAATCCCTGGGCTGAATTCTTAAACAGAAATGCAGATGTAGAAGGTCACCACCACTCTCTAACACCAGTTAAATATAAGTACTATTATTTGTAGACATCTACTAACACTATAAAAATAACTACTAGGAAACATAAGCAATAAAAAAATTATACAAAAAAGTCAGTAAGGAAAAAAAGACCAAAGATCCCAGGCCACTTGAAAATATACAATTGGTCCTTTACTAATTAGAATAGACCTATTAATTTTTCCATGGTTACATACTAGCTGTATATTTCATTGTCAATGTCTGCTGGAAAGAGAAATAGCTACACTAGACTAATAATATTCTTAATCCTAAACCTTATAAGCTCCCAAAGAAATGTAAATGGTATTTTGTGTATGGGTATAAGTAACTAATTGAAATGCCTGTATCTTATCTTATTTCCAGGTTCAAAGATGAAGGATGAATTTGAATCTAAGAATAAGAGGTTGGGGGTGGTGGCTCACGTCTGTAATCCCAGCACTTTGGGAGGGCTGGGCAGGTGGATCACTTGAGGTCAGGAGTTCGAGACCAGACTGGCCAACACGGTGAAATCCTGTCTCTACTAAAAATACAGAAATTAGCCAGGTGTGGTTGTGCACCCCTGTAATCCCAGCTACTCGGGAGGCTGAGGTGGGGGAATTGGTTTAACCTGGGAGGCGGAGGTTGCAGTGGCCTGAGATTGCATCACTGCACTCCCTCCTGGGTGACACAGTGAGACTCCATCTCAAAACAAAAAAACAAAAAAACAAAAAACAAGAATCAAAGAATAAAACACCATGACTTTAATATGTAGCTTAATAACTTTTCGTAGCATTTTCAATTTTTTTCTAATTTATCTTACTAATCATTCAATGATACATATAGAACAAACATTATTAAAAACTGTCTGACAGATACGAAACTGGAAGGGCCTAGAAAGACTAAGAAGCTAGCTCTGGATCAAATGGCTAATACGTATGTACATGATTATTTAAAAATATTTTGAATGTCTGCTGCAAAGAGTTATAGCTCATCAGTTTGCAATTCACATGAAACATTTGCTTTACAACATGTTAGTTTCAAAAAATTCAGTGATAAAGACTGCCAGAAAAGATGCTCTTCAATATTAGTTTCCTTTTTTTTTTTTTTGAGACAGAGTCTTGCTCTGTCGCCCAGGCTGGAGTGCAGTGGCACGATCTTAGCTCACTGCAAGCTCTGCCTCCCGGGTTCATGCCATTCTGTTGCCTCAGCCTCCCGAGCAGCTGGGACTACAGGCACCCGCCACCAGGCCCGGCTAATTTTTTTGTATTTTTAGTACAGACGGGGTTTCACCGTGTTAGCCAGGATGGTCTCCATCTCCTAACCTCATGATCCACCTGTCTTGGCCTCCCAAAGTGCTGGGATTACAGGCGTGAGCCACTGTGCCCGGCCTTTTTTTTTTTTTTTTTTTTAAATGTAAGTTCTGGGGTACATGTGCACAATATGCAGCTTTGTTACATAGGTATATATGTGCCATGTTGGTTTGCTGCACCCATCAACTCATCATTTACATTAAGTATTCCTCCTAATGCTATCCCTCCCCCAGCCTTTAAAAATCTTTTTGAATCCTTATATTTTAAATAATACTGAGCTGTTAGAGAACATTTTAGGCTGAAAGAAAATACAGTTTGGAATTATTTGTCTTATTTATAACCAACTTAAATGACCTCCAAAAATATCAAGAAACAGTTGCTTTAATACCAAAAAGTTCTTAGATGTCATATTATGATTTATACAGCTCCTTGATGATAATTTGATATTATTAGCAAATTAATCTTGTGGTAAAAAAATATTTAACTATCTTATCAAAAATAACTATATATGAATGTGTGGATAGTATCCATGAAAATTTATTCTTTTTTATTAACATACCAATTAATGGATCCATTTCAATGGGAAGATGGTGGGCTTGATCCAAGGAGTATCCTGGAGCTCCTCTGAGGCCTAAAGATTAAAAAAAGAGAGAAAACATGAAATTCTCAAAAAGAAGGAATTTCCTAATGGGCGGTGTTTGATGATGATTTTACAAAACGCATATTTGCTTAAAAATTATTTGGTAAATTTCTCTGATTCAGTTATACTATGCGTCTCTGTAGACAGCTTTACAAGACAATCACAACAGGGATTTCAGGTTTCCACTTAGGATGTAGAAGGCTGGAAAGAGTTTTGTTTCTGTTCTAATGATGAGAAAAAGCTGGATAAATAGAAGATCATAACATTTATTGACCCCATCAAAAAGCGAAGGTTACTGAGCAATCAATCAGCCTGAAATCAATGAAAGGGCTATGCTTCCAAGCAGGGATGGGAATGAGCCTGGGCTCACCTGGGGCAGGACAGAGGAAGCCGGGGCTGCCATCCAAGGGGGCCTTTTTTTCAACACATGACAAGTAAATTGAAGGTGTAAAATTGGGCCACACCTAAAATCTTAATCTCACTAAAAGCTACTTTCAGAGGATTAATGTTTAGGGCTTGATGAAGTTCATTAGTCATAGTTTTTCACACGTGATTATATAATATATACAACACTTTTGAACAATTTTAAATAAAACTTTAGTCCTTTATAGTTTTTCTCAATGCAAAACATTTCTAGAGGCTGTCTCCTGATAATAATATAGTCATAAATTTTTCTTAAGATATTTGCTGCCTATCTCTGATTGAATGGAAGTAGCATTACCTTATGTTGATAATATCACCAATAACCTTAAAATAAGTGCACTTAGAAACTCTCAGGAGATAAAGCTATGGTACAAATCACTGTATTTTTTAAAGCAATGTAGAGGTCAGTGGAATACAAAGATTCAGGTTATTTCGGCATGACTCAGTTACTCAACTCTGGAGACCGGGGTAGTCCTCGGCTTCCTGGGAGATCTCAAGTGGTGAATTGGGCCAACTAAATCTTTTGGTCATATCCACTTCTGCCCTGGTTAAGGATCAATATGTCTAAATGTTTTTTTGTTTTTTTTTTTTTTCCAAGATGAAGTCTCACTCTGTTGCCCAGGCTGGAGTACAGTGGCGTGATCTCAGCTCACTGAAACCTCTGCCACCCGGGTTTAAGCGATTCTCCCACCTCAGCCTCCCGAGTAGCTGGGATTACAGGTGCCTGCCACTGTGCTGGGCTAATTTTTGTAGTTTTAGTAGAGATGGGGTTTCACCATCTTGGCCAGGCTGGTCTTGAACTCCTGCAATATGTCTAAATGTTTGCCACAGCATTGTGTCGCTTCAAGATGTATTGGCTGGTACTTTCAGGAGTGACTTTGAAGAAACACATGTGAAATATGAAATCACTTGGAGAATTTAGATTTTGTCTTTTTGCAAAGATTCTAGCTCTGCAAAAATAGAGCTGGTGCTTGTTTTGTTTATTGCTGTATATACAGTGCTTAGGACCACTTGACACATAATAGTCATTCAAATATTTGCTTGTAAATTACTGATAAAGAGAAAAGAGGATTTGAAGCCAGCATACAGAAACCCACATTCAAACTCACTTCTGTTTGATATAGGAAAAAAGTGGGGTGCATTTTTTTGCAGTTAGGCCATAGCAGAATAGAGTAGGAGAACCTGAATTATTGGTAGAACTGCTTCAATTTGTCAAATATTTATTGAGTACTTAACTATGATCCAAGCATCCTATGAGGCACTAACATACAGCAGAAATGAAGAAGACAGATAGGAGTCACTCAGTTGGGTTTGACAATTAGTTATTTAGTCTGCTGTTTTTTGTAGATAATGTGGAATATGAGCTAATCCCAGCACACTTTTTTACCTTCATTGTAGCTTTTAAGAAATCTTTAGTAAGCGATTTGCTCAGGCACACATACCTACTGTGTTGTGCCATCTATTCACTGCAAACAGTCGGCTGCAAGTCACTGTCACCACTGCGGGGATGGTCAAGTGGGGCAGGGTGTTGGCTGCCACATGGGTTACCGGAGAATTTGAAGGAAACTTCAGCACCATTATCACATCCTGTTGCATCTGATCTTTAAACATGAGCGGACTCTGTGGAAGGAAACACTGTTGAATAGAAAGGGAAGAGAACAGAGGAAGACAAAAGGAATAACACAGTTAGTGAAAGGCCTAGGGAGAATGAGGTTAAACAGACAAGGCTAGCACGAGCACACACAAGGAGGAAAGGCCACCTACACTTTGTTTTTCTTTTGAGACAGGGTCTCGTTCTGTCCCCCAGGCTGGAGGGCAGTGGGCGGGATCTCGGCTCACTGCAAACTCCGCCTCCCGGGTTCACGCCATTCTCCTGCCTCAGCCTCCCGAGTAGCTGGGACTACAGGCGCCCGCCACCCACGGCCTGGCTAATTTTTTGTATTTCAGTACAGAGTGGGGTTTCACCGTGTTAGCCAGGATGGTCTCGATCTCCTGACCTCGTGATCCGCCCGCATCGGCCTCCCAAAGTGCTGGGATTACAGGCGTGAGCTACGCGCCCATCCCACCTAAACTTTCATACTGGTGAATGTCTGCCCCAATCGAGCAGCTTGGACTTGGGATGCACAGAGACTAGAGAATAAGATTATGTGAAGTCAGTAATACAGGGGCACAGAATCATTAAAGACCAGCCTCATTCAAGTATCGCCACAATGCAATGTGAAAAGTTAGCTCACAGACACACCCACCACGATGGTACCACAGTTATTCAATTGCAGCTTA